AACTCAAAGGCGTTTTTGCAGCTCTTCTGGTCGGCCGAGCATATGGGGTTTTTTTATGGTTCTTCTATTTGTGTCTAATCAGTGATGGGGCACGCCTGACCGCACCCCCACATGCCTTTTTCAGAAGAATACGCTTTTGGTGGAAGAGTTTGCCTTAGGGAGAGAGGATGTCACAATAATTCCCATCCAAAGTGCTGATAAAATGATCGCAAGGTTGACAGACATGCGAAGAGATTGGTAAAAAGAGAGGAGAAAAAAAATGTATGGATAGTAGACACAAGGGGACAATTCAGGCCAGTGAACATTCCATTGTGGATTAGAGGGGCAGCGCATAAAAAGCAGAGAGGAGGCAGGCCGGCTAAAAGTGGGGTTGGGAGTGTCGACGGACAAGCGGGTTGCGGCCACAATACAGCTCGGCGTGGCTTTTGTGCACAATTGGGGTCAAAACCAGTCAGCGTGGCGGTTAGCAAGAGGGCTTGGAACGCCTTCAAAACTGCACCAGCGCGCACGCGTTTGAAGGAGTACTTGGTGGTTTTTTTCCACAGCAGTCGTAGGGGCACAGCATAAGCGGCAGGTTGACTTTTAGCGTTCCAGAGACAGAAAAGAATCGCAACTCGCTCAGCTGGTTCGGGGCTTGCAGAATTCACGGGTTCATCTCCGTCTTTGCACACGACAGCTATCGTATCCTGGAATAATTCCGCTGAAGACATTTGCATGTGTACGCACAAGCCCAAAGTGGACAAGTAGGCAAATGCTGAACTGTTGCCGTATTTGCAAGAAGGAACCGGGTCAAACAAAAGCGGACGTCTGGTCCAAACCATTCACTTCACCAACACGATATGCGAATAAAGATTGGTGGTTTATCTCTCTTACATAAATCGGAGGCTATAGTCACAGTCACCTCCGCCAGTAAGCTTATGGCAGTGATTCTGATATCAGATCTCAACTCAATTATCTACTTGGCCAACACTCCTACTGGCTTTTTATATCCCACAAGTGCTTGATAACGTCCCTGCGATTCCAAAGGCTGCTCTGTGTTGTTTTTTTTTTCTTTAATAGGCGGCTAAAATAGCACCGCCTTCCAACTCTGGTCAATTTTGTAATCTCTCTAATCAGAACTAATTAGGCATGGAGGTTATTCAAGTCTCCATGACCATATGGTGTCAACATCAGGCACGCAGGCAGAGCTCCACCACTCAGTGACGTGTAACATTCCTTGAATGAGGATTTGACTGTCCACTGTGTGGTTTAAATCGCCTATTCACGACAGAGACAAATGAAAATGCTTCTTTTCAGCAGGCAGGAAATTACAGAGCTGACAGGTTTCCAGACTGGAAACTATGGGAAGAATTGATAAAACAAACACTTCCCTCGGGTCCTCACATGCACGACAACAGGTGGAGTCGATAGTTGACTATGTGACAATAGCACGGCTTTGTGCTTCACATTCACACAAAATAGTGAGCAGCCTGCGGCCTGCAACCAAGTCAGGAAAATATATCTTACTCTTAAGCCTTCACAATTCTCTGCGGAGTGATCCATGAATGCCAAAGACATAAACTGGGCCAGATGCCCTCGTTAGAGAGTATTTATGTCATAATGTGGGATGCAGTAAATGGTTGAGGGTCATGCACGGAGGCCGACGTCAGACATTTCACAGGAGATAATCCCCTGAGAGCTAATACTATGCAAATGAGAAGACGAGTGTTTGTTATTTGACATATGGAGGAAATGCCAGGCCGATGCGACCAATATGCTTGACGGACGTGTTTAGATGATAACCCAAATCCTCGCGCTGGAACGGCTCGTGAATGCATCAAAGACTAATCCCGCGGCGGTTTTAGTCATGTGACGCCGAGCTTCTTTAGCGAAGCAAATCGAGAGAGGTTGGCAACAAATATACACAAGTGGCACCCTACTGTAGAAGCAATTAGCGACAATGAGCTCGCTCGCAGGGATACTGAATACTTATTTTTGAACGCTGGTTTTGGCGGGTCTCAAATTGTCAAAGGGTAAAAAAGGCGAAAAGGCAGTGGCGGGTTTTGCATTTGGTACCTGGGCCTTCAGTGGGGACTTACCTGACTTTATCTTAACATCGTCAACATCAACATGGAGCCTTCTAAGTAAATGAATCAAGTTACTTCATGAAAAACATCTTACCTGGTCAGCCCCATAGGCAGTAGCGAACTCCATAAACTCCTCAATCCGAACAAAGCCATCTCCGTCCTGGTCTAAAGCATCGAATACAGTTTTTAGAGGGGAGGCATCTTCTTCTCTTGTGTTGACAGCTGAAACCATTGGCAGTGAGTCATCTCCCACCATCTTGGAGAGAGCAACCGTCTCCACACTTGGCTCAATCGTCCATCCAGTCTTTTCTGTGCAACTGCTCAACTCCAGAACATCAAAATCTTGCCGACTGTTATCAGGCGGCGGCAGTTCCTCTTCCCTCTGTTCTGTCGTCGCATCAGGAGCGGTTTCATCATTTACTCCCTCCTGTGGCTTCAAGTTCCACGGTCCCTCACTGCAGACTCCATCTGTGATTGAGCAAAAATCCAAAGCCATCTCATCGTTGTCTCGATGCTCGGCCGTGGTGCAGATTTTGCTTTCCATCAAATCTTTTGCTGTACCTTCCACAGAGAAGCTCCCAGAGCTGAGATCACCTCTGATGATGACATCCTCAGCCGGAGAGTCTGCCAGCGACGAAATCGCAGGAGGTGAGTCACTCTCGTCCTGGAGATCTAAAGTCCTGCATATCGTTTGGGCAGCATGTTTAACGTCGGAATCCTGGGTTGCGTCCAGCTGTGCACCTGCTGGTCTATCGGGATGAATTGTCAGGCCGCCGTCAAGTTCTGGACCCTCTAAATCCAATAAAAATCCTTGAGGACAAGCCAGTAGTGTGCTGCTGTGGTTAAGTGGAAAACTGTTCTCAGGTAGCCCTTGTGGGGTCAAACTACTGTTTACTGGCAGAGCTGTCACTTGATCTGGGAATAAACCTTTGTCTCCAGTTTCACGTGACAAAGTTGGACTGTTGTGTACCAGGGCTTCCTCTTGTGACAGGTCTACCAGTCCTTCACTGACACCGTGTGACATGCCCGATGACTCAGAGGCGACAAAAGTCTGCTTATCCATGAGGGTATCTGTGGAAATGAGTGAATCTGCTGGATTTGATTCAGAACTATACTTACATTGGGAAGACGGCACTGTCGTGCTACTGTTGGTTATTGTCTCAGTCTGTCCATTGAGGGTGCTGTTGCCTCCAAGAGAGGCCTCCTCAAATGCAAAGTTTTTCCCAACCACATCCGTGAGGTTGGGAGAAAACAGCCACGAGAGCATGAAGTCACTGGTTTCATCAGGTTCCTTGTTTCTTTCCGAGTGAGGCGATGTCTCAGAAGCAGTGGAGTGGCACTCTTCAAAAAACAAATCTCCACAGGGATAATCGGAAATATACAAAAGTTTATCCAACTCCACCGGCGCATCCTGGTAGACTTTGTCCATTTTACTTTGCTGGGATGTCAGATCGGGGTCGCCAAAATGCAAACCTGTTTCACCACAGTTGTTTTGACACAGGACACCCCCATTGTCGGAGTCCAGGCTGAGAAATCCGAGAGGAAACGCTTGCTCGGACTCCCACTGCGCACGCCCCAAAGGGCTAGACACCACCGTGGGTTCCATCTATTTTGGCTACAGGCGTCTCATCTCGAAAGCGAATTCACATGTCATACTTAATCTTCGGTTATATAGCGTTATGCGGTACAACTTAATATTAATGCATCCGTCTTGCGCGTGGAAACTTTTGCCGTGATTGTAAGTTTTATACAGATGTCAATGAGTACATTTTTTTTAACTTGACAGGTCGGCAACCACATTCAACAAACGTATTATCTAATATCAAACGCATTTCCCCCATTTTTACCTCTAAGCCATATTCAAGTTTCCAAATATTTAGTCTGGTTTGACTCACTTGATGCCTTTTTCGGGCATGGTAGGTCCACGTATGGCTTTTCCCAAATCACACAGTCCCTGCCCAAACATCATCAAACGTTTATGTCAAAAAATTAGTGAAAACGACGAGAATAACACTTCGGCACCGAACCCAGAAAAAAAACGCGGAGTGCATCTCGAATCAAACAGTTATAACAAGTATTTCGTCAACGTTAGCTTAGCCGATTCGCTCATCGTATCCCATCGTGAGCAAAATTACCTCCCCCAAAAAGATGAGAGCGTGGTAAGGTTTACCAAAACAGTTCAATGCAGAAATATCAGTCCACACCGGCGTTTAAATGCCATTGATACGGGATTCTCGTGCGTTTCTCCTGAAAGGAATTGGGAAAAAAATAACATTAGCTCCTCCTTTCCAGCATCCCACCGCTTCACTGCCATTGGCTAGGTGATGAGCTAGCCCAAATTAGCCTATTAGCTCGGTACCAGGCCAAACGGACCGTCCGCCACCATGTCCTCGGCGAGTGCATAAATAAACAAATTCCTCTGCCACAATTTAAGTTTTGCGGATGTCGTCGTCTATGGTATATGTATTTTTGGCTACGGAAATCCACCTGTATCCAGCTCAAAAATAAGGGCCCAGACCGTGACGAATCTGCTCTTTCCTCGACCCAAAAATACTTCCGCAGAAAATGTCACTGTGCTCCGATGAAATAAAAAAAACAGCAATTAAATGCCGAGAATAAGTTCCATCGTTTGCCCGCCGATGTTGTCACGTACGAGCTCTCTCTCGCATCAGCATCCCAACCCTCCGCGTCTTCTTCCTCTTCGTCATCCCCCACCTCCTCCTCCTCCTCCTCCTCCTCCTGTCACCGCAGACACATGCTGACGTTTCACGGAACCGTACAAAACTCCGCAATGTCATTTTTTTAAATTATGGTTGGTATTCCCAAACAGTTTCCGAACACTCAGTTTTCCAAGATTTACACGTTCAGTTTTGCATTTGTATTTCTTCCAACCACACGACCAAATCCACCAAGTCATAGGACACAAAAAATGCATAAGGTACATACATTTTTTTTAATTGTAGTTTTACAGCGCCCCCACCTGGCGCAAACCAATACTGATTCTCCGAATGGATGACAGTGCGTGGATGTTGTACTTTTTAAAGTCTTCCAAATTAAAAGTGATTCCCAACCTTTACTCAGCCAAGGCACATATTTTACATTAGAAATTAAAATGTCATACAAATTATATATACCAAAATGATGACGAGCTCGTCCCCATTTACTCACAAATTGAAATCTGGGCCGCCTTTAGTTGACCATAAAGCTTAACACGGTATCTGTTGTATGAAAGGCAACATGTGGCTTGTCGCTACACAGGTCAATTGTAATTTCAGCCATTTCGTGAAAGAGTATTTAATTGTTCGGCCAGTCACTATACGTCACTGGCATAGATTAGATGAACAAAGATACATCATGTGTAGTAATTAAAATTAACATTTTTCAAACAATTAAGTAACAGCTGATGATAAACACTGAATTTAGCACCCAGAGAGACTGGATCATGATGGAAAATTCAGGAAATGACTCCACAAAGGATCCAATATTAAATATAATAAAAGTTTTACTAAGTGACTGATCATCACAAAATGGAATGTGAGGACAAATGTACATGAAATGCAGAATATAACAACACAGGATTAAAACTACATGGTCCTGTATCACAAACGTTGGCAGTCGTATTGAATATGTGACATCTCCATATTCCAGTTGGATAAAATATTGTTCATGTCATTTCTTGGAAAATATGCTTATTTGTGGTACAACTCTGGCAATATGAGATATATATACTTAAATGTATCAGTCTCCAATTCTGTAGCCTGAAACAGTGTCACAGCACTGCAGCTTTGTTACTGTTTTGCTCATTTTTATTTGTCTCTCTTTTCAGATGACCAATAACCTGGAAAAAAAGGAAAAGAAATATAAATTATTTTCTGTCTGACAGTGAAGCAATTTGTTAAAAAAAAAAAAAAACACGTATCAGCGATTCCCAACCACTGTGCTGTGGCACATTAGTCTGCCAGCAGTCATCATCGGGTATGCCGCGAAAAATTACATTAAATCGGTCCAAAGAGTGTATCTTTGTTCATGTTTCTTTGACAGCGACATAGAGTGACAGACAGAAAAATTTAATGTTTTTCCACTCGACGTCAGAAGGTATAATTAACCCGTGTAGCAATCATGACGGAAATACAGTGACATTTTTTTTTCAATGACAATGCATGCCTTGGCTTAAAAAAGGACGTAAAGGACTTTTAAAATGGAAAGCACTGAAAAAAAAAAACAAAACGAAATGGTTTTCCATTTTCTACACTATCATTTGAAAAGCTACACCTCCACACCTGGGACAGGAGGAAAACAGGAGAACCCCTGCTCAGAGTTTAGCGGATTTAGAGGAGGCTATACCCATCAGCTTGGAGGCGTCGTTAGCTGAGGTCAGCCAAGATCCGCCATCCGCCACCAGGATGGCTCCGGTCACGTAGGACGAGGCCCGGCTGGCTAAGAAAAGTGTGCAGTGGGCCATCTCGGTCTTGTTGCCTGATCGCTGCAAAGGAATGGACTGGAACAGACCAGCGGCCTCCCCTCTCGGACCACCTTAGAGAAAAAAGAAAGTGTTTTATACCACTGTTATTTTAATGAAGAGACAACTGAAAATTCAGGACAGTTTTTCTTTTTAAATAAACATTGATTAAAATCGGAAATCTTTTTTTTTGTTTGGGGGGGGGTGAAATTGTATTTTAAGTTTGTACAGAATAATGCAATTCTTTTTTTTTTTACCCAGTCTGCGGAAGCCCTCTGTGCCAGAGATAGGACCAGGGGCCACAGCATTCACTCTCACCCCACTGGGTCCCCACTCCACAGCCAAATGCTTGGTCATGGCATCTAGGAATAAGAGAAAATGTAGAAGAGTGTTAAGAGTCTTAAAGTTGTCAATTATAAACAAATCTTACCATTTGCAGCCTTGGCAGATCCAGCGTGCACCTGCAGCGCTTGTCCCTTGTATCCAAGTGTTGCAGAGATGTTGACAATGTTGCCTCCGTGATCCTGAAAATTAAAAAAAACAAATCAGGCTCTCAAAATAAATGAACTGCTCATGCAATTTTGCTTGGATGCAATCTGCCTTGTACGTGTGATGTGTGCTGACTTGGGTAGGGCTGAATAAAAATATATATTTGAATTGCATTTTAAATTGCATCCTTTGACATGGCAACGGCAATTTGAATCTAGATATTTACTGCCCTCTTGTGGTGACTTACAGTACCTTGAACCACTTCTCGTACACAATTTTGCTGGTGTTGAACGTTCCCATGGTGTCGATCTCCATAACCGTCTTGAAGGCGTTGAAGGAAAGAGCAGCGGCAGGACACAGGAAGTTGCCGGCAGCATCTGTCAGAACACACTGAATCTTATTTTGTGTTACGTCAGAGAAGCGTTGGTGACCTTTCGCTGACGATGTCTTCCCAGCGACACAATCTTGTGCTGTGGACTCAAGGGCTCTTGGCATGAAAAGATAAAACAAAAGTTGATGATTAAGCCTAAAATCTGTCACACTTGATCTTTGTTCCACGTCTATCTGCATGCCTGCAACGTTTTATTTTTCACATTATTTACATGCATGGTATTAAATAATTGGTCGCTTAGTTTAAAGACCTCAAGAGTGACTCCGCTTCCACTTTTGTTTTTTTGTCTTACTGTTAACAAGGATGTCGATGTGGCCCATTTCTTTGAGGGTCTCATCCACAGCCGCTGAAATGCTCTCAGGCTGCCTCACGTCCAAGCACAACGGGAGGCAGCGTCGTCCCGAAACGGCAGACAGCTTGTTCGCCGCCTGGAGGAGACACCAAATGCGAATCGGATTCTCCAAGACCGACTACTTGGCAAAGATAAAAAAAAAATGAAAACCTCAGTGAGCTTGTCTTTGTTCCTGCTGGCAATCACCGTGTGACAGCCATGCCTGAAAGAAGAGACAAATAAAAACATGAGGGGATTTCCACAATCAGGGTCGTATAACTCCACTGTATTGTTACTTATAGATTCCACAGAAGATGCCGACTAGTTTCCTCACCTCATGAAGATTTCTGCAATCCGTAGTCCAATTCCTGATCCACCACCCGTGATAAATGCGACCTGATCCCTGAAAATGCATAGACTTGAAAGTCACTTCATGTCATAACTACCACGTCAGACTTCTAGTATTTAGAAATGTGGTCATTCTAACCCACATGCAGCCGGCGAATGTCCAATGCAGTGTCTTACTTGAGTAAGTCTGGGCTGTAGATGTGAGTGTATGAAGTCAGGCAGTCATCGGAAGCAACGTCTTCAGGGAGCAGATCACAAACTCGCTGTGGCTCTGCCATCCTAGTCAAGAAATATGGAAAGGGCTTTCATCAAACATGCCACAGATGCATTTATGTACGCACACGATGATGGACTGTCAAATGCAGTATTAAGGATCAAACACAGGGTGTTCATAAAATCTTTTGTGACAAACTGCCTGGAATCAATCTGACATAGAAGCAACGTAACAAAAGCAATGTTATTGAAAACTAACCACTAAACACACAGAACAAATCTTATTGACATATCTGGTGAACTGCTTTTGTAATGCTGTACATTTTTACGAGATTAAATACACACAATTACATAGACAGCACGGCCATCTGAAAACAAATGGACATTTACAGTCGCACAGAATGCTATTTTTGTACAGAGATAACAAATTTTTATGTTAGCATCTGATGCTGTGCTTTTGCAATGAATGTCATGTAGCTAACTGTAGCCTGTGTTTTCGTTACCTTTCGAAGAACAAATTGGTCAAGAGCACCGAAAAAGAACTTTGAAAGCAATTTCCGAAACAAATGATCGAGCTTACTCGGCCAATGTGGCTTTTGTACGCGTCCTTTACTTGTGAAGTTGGAGTAGTTGTTTGTACCTTGGACACTAGTTTTCAGACGCTGTCTGCGGTGCATCCTGGGAAATGACGTTTTCCAGGATTATGTTTCAAATACTACAGTCAAATTCAAATGTATTCGTTTGCGTTTTTTTCTATGATTGAGTAATTTGTAAATAACTATGTCAATATATTTAACGTGAATATCACGTTTTGTTTTATTGACCAGTTGGTTAATAAATTATCCAGTATTTACATTACAATGACCGCCAGATGGCGATGTTGTTTAACATATTACCGGAGGGGGGGGGGCTCTCACAGGCGGCGTTTTTCTAGCACCCCCAAATTAAACCCTGCTTCCACGAGCATCCCAATACTGTATGCCATATTAATTTATAAAGTTGCCCTTTTAATGAGAAAAAAGCATACTTGTACCATAAATTCCCAATGAAGTGTCTTTCAAAAACTACCCCAGAATATCACTTAACAGGCAACAATAACATTAATATCTCTTGTGGAGATTTTGGAGACAAAAACCGTGCCAGGGGTGCGGATTTGCACGCACTGTAGATAATTTAATTCCAACACTGTCGGCATTTTATACATGACTCATTTGTTTGTTAGATTTCATTTTTAAGAGAAACTTGCTCGAAGGAATCATAGGAGCATAAAGGCATGTGGCCAAATATATCCAGTATTTACTTAAATCAGTTGCAACTGAGCCCTGTCCCTTGCCGCTGCCATGCCGAGGCAGTAGAACAGACGCGCTACGACTCCACAGTTCCAACAACTGGTCCTGGGTTTTGTCCATGTGTCTGTTGACTTAGTGCTGGCAGATCGGCGTGGCAGGAATTGCTGGACTGTCCTTGGTCCTCCTTCAGACCTACCAGCTTGCTGCTGATCTCCCACAGCCTGCGAGCAGCCTCCTCATCCATGGCCTGGGGAGCTGGCTCCTTTTCTGTCAACACGTCGTAGTAGCGCCCCGTCACCCCCTCCAGCTCTTCGGCCACGGCCAGGTAGATGCTGGGCTGGGCTCCCAGCTCGGGGTTCTTCACCAGCAGGGAGAAAAGGGGACCTGGGGAGCAAGCGTAAGGGAGGCAGAAACATTGGAGCGTGTTCCAACAATTTTATTCGGGTCAGTTTGATTTGAATTGTAAATGAATACACAAACATGGAAGAAAAAAAAATATGAGCGGTGCTGGCGTGTTCATTTTGGAGAGAAGAGACCATGTCTTGGCAACTGACAACTGCACACCCTCATGCATTTGTAATTTTCAAAAGTCCTGGTGGATTTATCTCATTAAATAATCAAATTATTGTATATATTTAAACAAATTATTACAATTACAATTATATATTGACATTAATTTACTGTAAATAACACTGGTCAATAGCAAATTTTAATCAGAGATGTCCATAAAAGTATTTTTTATTTTTTTTGTATTTAAAAACATGTCTTTACTTTTTTCAAGCACATCAGGTTTTTGAGACGATTTTGATTATTTTTTTTTAATTTGACCAATATTGCGGTTCATCTGAATTATTGATAATCCTAAAATCTTTTTTTTTTTTTTTGATGATGTCTTGATGGATTAAGGATTTAAAATGGAAGATGCTTTTTCATTTTTCAATAATAATTCCGCTGTACTCACTGAGCACGGTGTTGGAGAATTGGGATTGGTGCAGACCAGTGTGCCTGCCAAGCTCAGTGGAAACAACGCCAGGGTGCACAGCATTCACGGTCACGCCTGTGCCTGTCACATATAAAAACAAACGTAAGAGAAGTTACCGGTAATTTAAAAGTGTATTCCTACTTTCGGCTCGCCCTGTAGATATCTAAATCAGAACAAAACAATAAAAGCTGTACTCCCTCCCACACATGTCACTTAACTTGCCTTGTAAACGCTTGGCCATCTCTCTGGTGAAGAGAACGTTGGCAAGCTTGCTCTGACAGTACGCTTGCTTGGTATCAAACTTTCTGCTTTCCCAGTTCAGGTCCTCAAAGTCCATCTTTCCAACAAGGTGGGCGAGCGAGGCCAAGTTGATCACTCTGCTGGGGGCGGATTCTTTTAACCGATCCAGCAGGAGATTGGTCAATAAGAAGTGGCCTGGAGGCAGACAAGAAAATATTTGTCATTTCTCACGGAGAATCATTCTCGTGGGTTTTGATTCAAAATAGAATACACCCTCGCGTTTGGGTGGCTACTGTGTCATGTCCATCCATCTATGAATTTTCTCCTTTCAATTTAACATAAAGAAAGATTAGGCCTACTTGAGGCATATTTTAAACAATCACACGCACGTTTACCTAAGTGGTTAACTCCAAACTGCATGTCAAAGCCATCCTCTGTTTTCCAGGCAGGACATCTCATGACCCCCGCATTGTTTATTAGCACATCCACCCGCTGTTCCTCTGCAAGGAAATATTATTTTCAAGAAAGTATCACCTTTTCCTACAGCACGGAGCTGCGGTGAAAACAAGATTGTGTCACATGTTTGTTTTTTTTCATGAACTCACTTTCTTTGATCCTCTCGGCAAACTCACGTATGGATTTCATGGAGGCCAAGTCAAGGTGGCAGGCGTAAACATGAGGATTTAACGTGTTACCTCGGATTTCTTTGGCGGCCGCCTCGCACTTCTCCATGTCTCGACATCCCATAATGATCCGACCCCCTAACCATGAAGAAAAGTGAGGGAAAGCAGTCATAGGTTCTGTAAACACTCGTTTTTTAGAGGGGGATTGCATTATTGTGGAATTTTTTTTGCTGGCCTTGGTCTCTAATTCCAAATATCATCATGTTTACGCACCTCTCTGGGCCAGTTCCCGTGCCGTCTCTTTGCCGATCCCTGTGTTGGCCCCTGTGATAATTACAGTCTTCCCATTTAGCTTGGCTTTGCTAGGACACCGGCCCCCAGTCACGTGGTTCCTGTGAAAGTGAGTCAAATCAAGATTTCAGGTAGACTGAGGAAAAGCGTGAGAGGAAATCAATAGATGATTTAAAAAAATGAAGTTATATTACAAGGTCAGGGGTAATTGGTAAGCAGTTGTTCCTTTTGAGAAATACTGCACTTTTCCCAGTTGGGATCATGTCCTTTTCCTCTGATATAATTCATGAAAGTAAGACCAAATAAAATTGCACATACACAGTGTTAAAAATCAATTCAATTAAGTTTAGTCGACTAGATTGTGTTTGACTTGATTTGATGGACAGAGGGAACATAACTGTCTTAATAGGAAAACAGACGAAATCACGTGTACAGTATATACAGTAAGCCACAACAAACACTGTATGATATTATGTACAGTACAGTCTATTAAACAGTGCTCATTCAAGAGCTACTCACTTCACTAAGACGGCACATCCAATAACAGTTCCAAAGACAGAAACAGGCAAGACATACTTGCTCATTGTGTATTAACTTATGCTAAATAAAACGTTTCGTTGGGGTACAGTAAAACGAACAGCACAAGGTTAGGGTCGCTTCCTAATTACGTCACAGCGTTGCTTGCCATTCTGGGAAATGTAGTCTTGTACCCGGAAGGGACTTTCAAAAAGGGCAAATAATAAAAATAATCATCATCATCATCATAATAATAATGAATTAAACTTTTAATGAAACAAAAATATACAAATGCACTGGACTAATCTGGTGCCTTTTCAGTAATATGCATAAAATTTATAGTTTTTCTGAAAATTATTGACTTTACTTTCACACCAGTGTTTCCCAACTTCACTTTTGCTAAACACTGCCAGTATTTCACATTATTTTCTTGCATTTGATTAGGTTACAAGTATTTGGAAGCTATCTGTGGTCAAAATTAGAATGCCTTCTGTCAGAATCATGAGCGGATTCCATTGTGCTATTATTTCTCAGTTTGAAAAATGGCATATATTATAAGTCACTGTCTAACACAACATAGCAACCAAAAGTTGTTAAACCAGAAACTTTCTGTAAAGAGGCCATTTGAACTTGAGCTTATGTCACTCCACTGACGTTTATAGGGCAGCAAGGACACGGGAAGCAATTTAGGAGGAAAGATTTGGGAACAAGAAAGAAACAAGGCCAGGTGGAAACTTGAGGCGACACACAAAAAAAATCTAAATCTAGGCCGTGAGTCTGGTGTGTGGCAAAGGGGAGATGAAAGACAGAGTGACCGAAGCCGAGCAGACGGTTACATCTGTTAATAATTTGAAGGTGTCTTATCCCCCCTGGTGTGCTTGACCTTTGCGGTGCTCCCTGCTGTCAACATGAATACTTGACCTTGGCTATGATTAATAGCAGCACTGTTTCTGTGCTAACCCTGGTAAAATTAAAAGGAAAAAAAACATCTTGGCCCATTTACCACTTTGCAGTAGATGCATCTGTTTGGTTCTTCTTCTCTGCTGGATGTAAAATGACTTAAAGCATTATTTCCCTTCACATCTTCGTCCACTCGGGCAGTCCAATCCTGACTCACATTACATTAATTTACTTTGTGGGGCATTTTTGTATGGTGGTGTGCCTTGCCATCTTTTTTTTCCTCGTGAAGGTTGGGAAATACTGTTCTATCCATTTATCTGCAGCCATCCACCTACTCATGATAGTTAATGGCTCTTCCAGGTCATTCCCATCATGTCCAAGCTGTCTCATCTGTTCATCTTAGCAAACAAGTGCTGGCAGAAGTGCTGTTGTTCATCATGTACAGTTAAGGGAACGTGCCAGTGCTGTGAATTAATTGCCTAATAAGGACAGTTGGCAAAGACATCGCGTGAAGTGCTCAAGCTGTTGAATTATGCAAGAGGGGAGCAGCTTGTTCCTTTCGAGTGCTCAAATCACTCAAACTACAATAACAGGAGTAGCAGTGCAATGATTCTGTACTCGCGGGTTGCACTGAAAAAAAATTTCACCGCAACCCCTTTCAGTGGTTGTTGGGTATTACAGCGCTCCAGAATATTGTACTTTGTAAGAACCTACATTATTGACATGACTAAATATTGCACTGCATCAATGCGCTGCTCCTTCTGGTGTGCCCGCCTTGGCCATCTGGGGGCGGTATCAGACAGACAGACAGTTGCGCTGTTCATTGAGACGTCTCAACTCCTTTCTCAGCTCACCAGTGCAGCACTAATATAAGACGTTCGATGCAGAGGATAAAGAACTTTTTGTGCCATTTTTGCTTGGCGGTTTTCCGTAAGACAAATTTGAAATAGGAGTCTTGTCTCAGTAAAGCTTGGCATAGACTGCACCGCACTGCCGTCGCTGAGAACCTCCTTAGTAGTGGGGTAATATGAGAAGAGGCACTAGGACCCTGGGCATGTGAGCAGTGCAGACGGCAAACAATGAAGAGAGCAGAGTAGTGGGAACCAGCACAGGAGCAACATCTGAACCACAAAAACCATCCCTAGCCCCTGCACCACATTTCAACCTCGCATCCCTCTTTCTCACCTCCAGGACACAAGGGCTGGGAGTGGAACATACTCATCTACGCTGGATGTGCAGGCTTCTTCTGGCTTCTCTGTTTGTGAATGACTGGGACTGAAGTGGGTCATGCAGTACTACTGAAGGGGCGAAAGATAAACAACCCCCACCTAGGACTACCCTTGAGCCTTCCGCCAGAGGAGAGATGATCCGAGCTCGCACACCGCAGCACCCAGCATGATGCGATCACCGCATCCGCCTCCGGATGAGTAGTCTCAAACCTTTCAAGGAACAGGATGAGAGTCAACTGAGGGAGCACATCCGCACTTTTCATCAAGTCTGTCTGTCATCCAAAGCATTGAGATTTTTTTGAGGGACCTGCCCAGGATTCTTTGGATTTTCTTTCATTGATTTTTTTTTTTTTTTTTTTTTACTTTTTAAAATTTTTACCTGTGTGCTTCAGGTTCGTGCAGTCTCCAGAGGTTCCGTGCTGTGCAGAGAATGCAGGACCATGGAGGAGAGAGACAAGTCCCCAGCAGGTGAGGGCATTGAGGTGCACTAATAAGAAGTTGGGAAATCAATTCTTCTTTATACCCAACGGGAGACTCGCATTGTTGTAGTATTTTTCATCACAAACCTTCCATTTGTTTGGCATTACTTCAGAGGTTCCACAGTTATCATATCTATACACACACTTATGTATAATATGCAATAGATGGCATGAATGGGAGGAATGTTCCGAAAAAAAAATCAAGTGAAATAAAGAGAAACAGCGTGTTCGGAGAGAAATGATGTCTCAGTTGTAAATCAGTTGGAAATGAATCAGCGACGCTTCAAAAATTGTCACTTCTACCGCATCATTCTACAAATCCTCCTCTGTTCCGTCCAATACTTTGACAATCAATGCGGTTCCACTTCATAAACTCCTAAACACATTATATCAGCTCATTAGGGGGAATCCCATGAAAAGGCTTTTGAAACCGAGAAAAAGGACAGAGCTTTTTCAGCTTTGAGTAAAATGTACAGCTTGTCCACAGGCTACAATAATTTCACATTGTAAACAATAAGGAAAAGTATCATCAGAATCCAAGGCTGCCACACGTGAATGAATATCTTGAGTGTCCAAATGAGTGTATCATTTCGTCCCAAGTCTGCAAAACATCTTGTGTCCATAGAAGAAACAGATTTTTACATCAACCTGCTGCCACCGCCATCTGGGAGGAAACAGCTGTCTAATATAATTTCATTACGAGCCTTCTCAATCAATACCTCACGCGAGGTTTCGCTGTACTCGTACTCACAGTTTTATTCAGCTCCATTTAGGCTCTGCTCTCCTCGCGCAGTTTTCCAATTAGGACAGTTTTTTTTGTTTTTTTGTTTTTGGGCTGCTGGATGCTCGGAGACTGCTCTTTTGTGTCTGCTCAGTGTTGTATACACGCGCGCGTACATCATGCAATTTAGTCAAATGCTTCATAATGAGACGGTGGGGGAGGGTAAGGGATGTGCTATTATTCTCGTAAATCCCATTATATATACAGGACTGTTACTTTGCCTTGATGGGGATGGTGAAATTGCTTCTTCATGAGACAACCAGCTCCTCCCCCGCCCCCCCCCCACCCT